CCCCCGCCGCAGCGCGGCGCTCGGCCTGCCGGCCGGATAAACCGCCGAGGAGGGCCGGCTCTGCTCACCCGTGCTGATGCTGCAGTTAACTATGCTCTGGCACTTTCCGAGCAAGCGAAGGGATAACCTCGTTGTCCCGGCCAACGTTCCCTCCCAATCAATAAAACGTAGTCAAGCATCTAAGGCTAAATTTGAGCTATTACGGGATGTACAGTGACTCCTGACTTAGCAGTACAAGCGCTTTGGGACACTGTCAGTAAGACGGGAGCTTTATAGACCTGCCGTTTCTGCACTCTCCACAGCTTCCCGTTGCACGCTACTTCACGCAAGTAACAGAAACGCTCCTCCCCAAGGGACGGGCCTGCGGACTTCCACCCCGTACAGAAAACTAGCGGCTTTACAGGGCAAGCCAAGGCGTTCTGCTGGCTAGCCCACCCCGCGGGCACAGCCCCGGTGCTGGCACCACGCAGGGGACAACGCACCCCCAGCACTTCGGGTCAGAGCACGTTCAAGCGCTGAAACGCAGCCCGTTGCATGGGTTTCCAGGAGAGGCTGAGCCTCCCGAGCTACAGCCAGAGCCAGTCGGTGCCGGGAGCTCTCGCGACATCAACCCGTCTGGACCTCGCACCTGATTAGGCGCTTTTGAAAGGACACACTCGGTAACAGAAGATTCACCCGTGTTCGTACCTGCCTTCTAGAAGCCAGTCTGTAGAAAGAGGCTGCTCCAAATTTGGAGTCTAACTGAAAACTTAGGTCCAAAGCACCTAGCGGCCTTGAAAATCATGGCAGAAACCAGACACTCGTTACTCAGGAGCAATCCTAACACAAGGAGCCTGAACCGCATTACCCAGGAAGTCTATACCTTCTACTGCACTAATTGCATTCTGCCTCTTTGAACAGTAATTACTGAAATCACTGTATCCTCTCCACTTAATCCTTCATTTTCTGTGTTATATGGAGACGCAAGGATGAAAATCAAGCTTTACAAACGATGCAATTTAGATTAGAACAGATCAGGATACAATATACCTTACTTTTGAAATAAAAAATTAGAACAATTCCCCTACTCTATGCCTCAAAAATCCAGGATACGGAAATCTTATTTTGTTTGTACATTTGAATGCAGAACAGTACTACAAAGGATCATGTCAGGATAACTGGGTGAACAATAGTTGCTCTGTTTTCTGAGATATCTATGAGCAGCAAAACCCTCCACAGATGTGGTGGAATCTTGTCAAAATTGAAAAATGACATTATAAAGCTTTTCCAGCAAGCAGGCAATCTGGAGCATTTCTTTTCAACTGTTTCATGTTGCTTTAAATAAGAATTTAAGGGGACTTTTTTTTTTATTATTCTAAAAAAAAACATTTTAGCATAAATATATTCCATGATCTTCTGTCCCCCTTGCTGTGGGACACTGCTACTAAAGATGGGCTTGCCTGAATCAGATTTCTTTTTTTCCTTTCTTCTGGCTGGGGTGTCCTCACCTTTTATTTGTGATGTTATTGTGGGTTGCTTATAGGGATTCTTAGTAGAGTTCAAGGTGAAGAGAAACACCTTCCTTCAAAACGCAACTGTTTTGAGTCACGCAAAGCTGCTTGAATTACAGGGTTAGCCATTCTCCTGTGCTTTTTATCTCACTTTTTTCTCCTCTCCATCCGTTTTTTTTTTTTTTTTTAAAGGTCCAGCGCAACCTCAGAACAGCTGCACCTCTGCAGCACCCCGTACCAGGTCAGGCTGCGATCTGCCTGGAGGGCAACACCTTGCACAAAACCCAGGCAGCCGACGCAGCGAAGCGGGATGCGTGGGCAGCAGCCCCTCCTGGCCGTGTGGGAGCCCACCCAGACCTACCCCAGGTAAGGGAGGGACTTTGTGCGAGTACTGTATCAGGCAGCCGTGATTTGGCTTCAGTGCTTAGCTCAGCTGCTGACTTTCAGTGCAATCTGGAACAAGCCACAGGACCCTCTTTCTGTTGCAAGAATAGGGGGTAAAAAGAAAAAAGTCTGGGACAAAGAATTATTTACTCTGAAGGGTACTTCGGAGCAGTACAGTATAGAAAAATACTATATGCTTGTGCAGCACCTAGTAAAACAGGCTCTTACCTCATGTATCCTTCCGTTCCTAAGAAAGGGTTGTTTAGGAGTCAGAGCCCGCAACAAATACTAGAACTTTCCTGTCTTTGCCTTTTGCTCAGGATTGCTCAAGAGACTCAACAGGCTGCACAGCATATGCTATATCCCCTTTACAGCCCAAAGATGTGATCCAAGATGAAGACTGGCAGATCTGCCAAAGATTAAATATCTATAGTCATAGATCTATCTATCCTTAAACGCCATTCACGTGGTGCAATATGTGCAAAACAGTTTAACAGACCATTCCTACAGACAACACGTCTGCTGGTATTCAGCAGCATGCTACGGCTTGACGGGGCTGAAACTCACCCGCATTCATCTTTCCACCTTAGGGCGGAAGGCAAAAAGGGAAGGGACAGAAACAGGGAGGGGAGATCAATAAAAGATGCTATTACACGTTAAAAGCAATTTGGGATCCTATTTATGTAATAAAATATACGCTGGAAAGATGGACTACAAGAGCTAGATCATCATTTAGATCTGTTTAGCATCATTTTAAATTCAGTAGGTTTTTCATTATCTTATGTAGAGCGCCTCATCGCTAAGATGACGACCGATAGTGCTGGGGCTAGAACCCAGGCACCCCGTCACCTGTCACGAGTGCAGCATTTCTAGCTTAATTTATCACCTACAGGTACGTTGCACCTTTTGGGGGAACGAAGGGGGAAGGAGTGGCAGGTTGGAGGAGGGAAAAAAGGAAAAAACCCAGCCCCTGATTTCTCTATAGTCCCTTTTCATTTGCTTTCACAGGGTGCGGGAACACAGCACTTACAAGACTGCAAGATTCGCCTTATATAAAAGCACTAGGAAAGGGAAAAACATTTCCAAACTCCCTGGAAGGGAATTAATTTACTACGTTCAACATAAAGAGAATCTGTGTACAGGCTGATCGTATCTAACCTTGCTTCTGCATTCATAAAGAGATTTCTAAACTAGGGCATGGATGAGAAAGAGCTGAAATGGAGCATACAAAGAAAGCAGGCTGCTAAAACTAAGCATCAACGTAAAACAAGTTGGAAGGGGAATGAATTTCTTATAGATTATCTGCAAAGCCAGATACTGTCTCAGAGGATACAGGATATTAATAAATTACAAACATATCACTGGAAAGCAGAAGTCAGATTCATTCTAATCTGCTCTCCCTCCTCTTGGACAATCTCAAGGTCAGCTTACATCTCTAGTGCTAAAAACACATTTTATTTGCTCTACTTCATATAGCATTACGTGTCCTGTTTTATATCTATCTCTCTCCATTCATGGTCAAACCAGTCTCTGTTCCTCTAAAAAGGTTTAAGTTGAGTTTTCGGAAGTTGCACTGGTATCTTTAATGTTCTATGGACACAGACTTCATTGACTGCAACAATCCAGCCTGTATCTCTGGTGCTGTGCTTTTTGCCTTTTTTTTTTTTTTTTATTTAAAGTACTTAAAGCTCCTTCAAAAGATAGAAAGACCCTGACAACAAGACAGGCTATGAACAAAATTACTTATTTGGATGGTTTGAACAGGGGTCTCAAAGTAATCTGTGCTTTTTCTGGAAACACGTGAATGTACAAAAACCTCCTGAGTCCAGAAAAGGCAAAAATTTGCCTATTTTAGTCTGCAGAACAGCCTGAGCAAATAAGAAGTCCCAATAGTTTTCTGACAGCTTAGAGAAGATACTTTTGTTGGTTGTTTGGGGCTTTTCTTTTCTTTCTTTCTTTTTTTTTTTTTTTAAGGCATCTGTACTATTTTCAGGTCTGATTCTTGATTCTGAGTATTTGAAACATTGCAGACATGGAAAACGAGGGGTAGCAGGAAGGCGTATTGCGTGTGGGGACACAGCAGGGCTGTGTACTGTAAGGAAAAGATTCTCGATCACTCCTACAAGAGCGATGGAAAAAGCCTCACAGAACAGAACAGAAATGCCTAACAAATGGGTGTCAGATCCCCTTCACCAGCTAGGTGGAGGTCCTGCCTCAATACCGTTCCAAGAGCACATTTTTAAGTTCCTCTTTTAAATACACAAAAGCACAGTTCATTATCTCTAACAAAACAGTTTCCAAGGAGCGTGCTAGATTAGAACCCCCTGACATTTATCTAATCAGAGGAAATTATAACATTAATCTTTACTTTTCTATTTAGGAAAAAAAGGATGATTCAGACAGGTGTTTTAATAGAAAGCAGCAATCATCACTGCAAAGGAAAATGTCATATCAAGAGCCATCAGTTGCATGCATTCATTTGTGTTATAAAGAAAAAACAAAGATTTTTTTTTAAATAATTTAAGACTGTGATTACAGAGGAAGGAAAGAAAAGTAATGATGGTGATTCATAAAGCAAGCCCATGTTTAGGCCATGATAACATTGATAGGGCTGAACAAACAGGGACAGCTTTGTTTACAGCTTTACCAAAGGAAACTCCTCTTCTTTCCGCTTTGTTCCTACTCGTCTAGGGCTACAGAGCACTTCTCATCCAAGCCCCGTTGCTTCCCTTGGAGGAAGGATGCTGAACTGCGCTGACAGACAGAGCCGGAGGACGGAGGAGGAACTGAACAGTCATTCCT